CAATCTGTTACGTAATCAACCTGTCTGTGCACACGCTTATTCCTTAGTTGCTCTTCATTTTTCCAAAATTATGCATTATGCAATCCACGTGTTGTAACCATTTCCACTTTTTAATTATATATATTATTTTACTGTTTGTAAGCAACCGGCTAAAGTTATCTGTCTGGTACTGGACATCCTCTTCATTATTCACAACTTTCTCCTTGTATCTATTCCAAAAACACAAACTGAAAAAACTTCATCACAGCTGTTGAAACTGAAAATAGTCTCGTATCAATAGTTCTGTGGTACCAACACCGTAAAAAGACATCGCGTCATGAAAATTGGACAGAATTACTTTATTATTAGGAGGAGGAGAAGGTGTCATCGTACACATGACCGAAACTGTCTTATCAAAAGCAACCGAGCGGAAAGGTTATAATTCCCTGACATCTTTTGAATATTTGTTTGTCACAGGATGAACCATTCTATAGTAAGATTTTGGGGTAGATTTAAAAACAGGGTTAGGGCTATAAATGGATCTCAAGAAGATCTCATTTATAGTCATTTGGATGAATATATGTACAGAGTGTAGTGTAAATTTTGCTGTTAATACTCTTTTTCTAAATTGGGAGATGTTTTTACCACATTTCAGCGAAAGATACTCTATGTAACAGTTTCATGTATTTTTTACACATTTTACGCATAACCAAAAATGCCTCTCTTTCATGTGATTGGTTCGTTAAAGGTCGTTTGCTGATTGGTAGTTAGTGGTGATTAAGGTTTAACTTTGCCCTTGCATCTCCTCCTCAAACGATCTCCTCCACATCACCCTTGAACCAAAGCCCAACTCGTCGGGTTCCGTTTGGGCCATGTCCTGGCGTGCTATATCATTTGACAGTCTCTTCAGAGTATGTTCAAACTGCTGCCATTTTTTCTTCGGAATATCTGTTGTGCAATAGGTTGGTTAGTTCGCTGACTTTCTTGTTGCCGATTCTTTCTGGTCGGCTGGCTGTCCATTTGATCTTCAGTATGGAGCCAGAGAATGCAGCCGTTCATAAATACCTGCAACCTGTTGGAAATGCTGCTCATGGTGCTCAGTGCAAGTTTCTGATTCATATGGAAGAATTGAATGACTTAACATTGGTGTTGAAATCTTGTTCTTTACTCTGGATCAGTACAGCAGATTTCAGATTGACAAAGTTCTGCCTTGTTTCCCCGATTCTAGTTTTGAAATCCTCAACCGTACCATCGCCTGCAGTTGAAATGATACTTCTCAAATATGTGAAGGAATCGGTCTCTTTCGAATATCTCTCATTTTCATTGTGATTGGTGATGGTTGGATATCTTCGTCACACACACCCCCCACCTTCTCTATGTTCACCTGAGGTCCTGTCTTTTACTGTTGCTTCTTCAACCAGTTTTTTGATTTTCGTCTTTAAGTCTTCGAGTTTGTACGACATATGTAACACGGGTGTTATGCGTAGAGGCGGATGTCAGAAAACATCTCATGACCCGCTTGTTTGGAATAAAGTGATCATTTTATTATTATTATTATCAATTTTCATTACAATAAAGGGTTTTTTTGTATTTCCCAATGAATGAAAAACAAAACGACATTGTTGTTTTTACCGACGTTTCGCTATTTAATGCTGCTGCTAATAGCTTTATCAAAGTATAAAGTTAGAACAAGACATAAGCGAACAATATTTTTTTTTCAATTAGATCTTCGGCAAAGTTAAACTTTCGACACCACTAGCAACCAATCAGCAAACGACCTTGAACGGACCAATCACATTAAATAGGCATATATGATGAATGGAAACGCATATTTATAAAAAAAAGCATAAAGAAGGATAAAACGGTTACAAGGAGTATCTTTCTCGAATATGTGAAAGAAACATCCCCCAGTTTAGCATGTGACTGTCAATGGCGAAGTCACAGCACATCCTGTACTTATATTCATCTGAACGGCTGTAAATGAGATCCTTTTCAGATCCATTTATAGGCCTTATCTTGTTTTTCAAGCGGCCCCGTAAACCTTCAGTGGAATTCGTATGAGTCCTCGTAACGGGATCCACACAGCAAACAAGTGATTGTCTCTATTTTACACGAAGCAATATCTCTGCAATGCTGGTACCACTAAACTGTTGAGACAAGACTATTCTCAGTCTCGGCAGCTGCTGCTCTCACCGGCTGTTTCAACACCCAGTAATTGCAGATATACAAAATTTGGGTTAGGGAGAGATGTGACCTAGCGGAAAAATTTCCCACGAAATATTAAAATTATCAGCTTACCCTCTCTAATATTAGCATGCTTCACACATATAGCACAACGATGAACAAACCCACCAGTTGATCTGCTATAGCTTTTTAAAGTCATGATACCAACACAAGAACAAGTTCGCTCCTTCCGGAGCAATTTAAATCCAGGTAATACTGGAAAACACTAACCCCCCAAAATTGCAGCCATAACCTTGTAAGATCACGCATTAGAAATGAATCAAGCGCTCTACAACATTGAACTATGTTCGTGAATCTCATTGGATAATTCGACATCGTTCGTAAATCACATTGGATAATTCGCTGGTTGGTAGTTAGTGGTGTCGAAAGTTTAACTTCGCCAGATCTTCTTCAGGCCTTACTCTAATTTAAATAGATTTATATACAACAATTTTAACCGATGACAGTGAGATTGTGGATCAAATAATAGTAATAATGATGATAATAATAATGTGGTAAATGTTTCGAACGTCATTAATAACGCTGATTATAATGATAACAAAATATTGATAATAAGGTTTATGCAGGTGGTGATAAGAATAACAAAGATAGTATATGTATATATGTGTATATGTAGACAATTCAATTAATAAATTAGGTCAATCTTAAAAGGTGAAGTGGACAGATAATCAGAGTTTAAATAAATATCATAAAAGTACGAAGGAGAGGGATGATAAGAAGGGTGGGAAGGTTTTGAATAGAATTCACCTAGGCCAAGGGAGAGACAAAGTTAGAACAAACTTCTTTTGTTGTATGCAAAGACTAGGATTGTTATCTCGAATTCCCATAGCTTCGGCTAAGTGTAAAAGACGGGTTCTGATTCCATTCGAGAGGCTCGATGGAATGTGATAGATAACTTTGAAGGCACTATTTTTGTCCACTTGGTAACCGCCATCATCAATCAAATGAGCCAAAATAGAACTTCGTATAGATTTTATTTGACCTTTTCCGAACCATGAAGGAAGCTGCTTATTAGTACGTTTGCTGAGCTGTCTAGTTGTTCGTCCCATATAGCTCTCTCCACAGAACCAATTAAATTTATAGATACACATCGAAGTGGCACAGCTAGGGACTTGTCTTTCACTGAGCAATCAAAATTGGTCGGCTGAAAATTAAAAACAAAGGGTGGTGGCAGTACAAGTCACTCTCGATAATCTCAGATGTAAGACTTCACTAGCCAAGTATTATTTACAAAATCTCAGCATATATATAACAAAGAGTTAAGAGGTGAGAAAATAGACAATTTAGGTCAAGTTTAAAGGAGGACATATTGAAAGTCAAAATAAAGTGAAGATCAATCACTAAACCAAATGACAAAGGTAATAGTACATCTGTTATCGTACCAAAACTAAGTTCACTAACTTGATCATCGTTCGTCGGTATTGGGTCATTTTTCGTTGTCAAGTTGGTCGATTGGTCAAGATAACAAAACCAGGTGTAGATTGTTGGATTTGATCAGTGTGTAAAATTATCAAAGCAGAGCGTGTGTCAACATAATGAATTTGTTTATCACATTCGTGTTGATTTCGTCACTTTATGGGGTGGGAGGGGGTGTTGTAACCATGTCAGATTCTGTTTTAGTCCATCATTCCTATTCAGACAATTTGGATTCCACTTAATATGAAGTGCTTCTGATTATGTGAGATGTTCTTTGTGTTTTCTGAAATTTTCTGGATTATTTCAACATTGTCAAAATCAATTTTGTGGCCTGATTCTATAGCGTGTAGAGCTCTCGTCAATTGGAGTCCAAATTGTCTGAATAGGATGATGGACTAAAACAGAATCCGACCTGGTTGAACACCCCCGCGCCTCCCCTATGAAATGACAAAATCAACACGAATGTGATAAGCAACATCATTATATAAGCACACACTGTTTTATAATCGTATACACTGATCAAATGCAACAATCTACACTTGGTTTTGTTATCTTTACCAACTGTCCAAATTGACAACGAAAAATGACCCCAGACTGATGAACGATGATCAAGTTAGTGAACTTAGTTTTGATAGGATAACAGATGTACTATTCCCTCTGTTATTTGATTTAATGATCTTCATTGTTATTTTAACTTTCAATATGTCCTATTAAGAATACTTTCCTCAAACCCGACCTGCTGCACCCTGCTGGTCACGACTTTTCACTAGAACCCCAGGTAACTATCTACCTGAGTAGGGCAAGTCGCTAGTGAGCATCTTATTGATATTCAAGTGTTGGTTTGTAGGGATTTGATTGGTTACAGGATTTTATCATGAGCTGACATTGGTAAGAGACCATTGGATAACCAGCACTGGAGTACCGGACAGCTGTTTCATCCTACTTTGGGACTCTTCATCAGAACGCACTCACTGGGTCTTGAACCCAGGCCTCTCTGGTTGCAAGGAGGCTTGTATGCCATTCAGCCACTGGGACCCGATCCAATGGCAAGCCCATGAATTCTAACTTCTGCCAATTCACGACATAGCGCGACCGCTACCCAATGTCTTCGACGGGTATTTGTCCTCGTACCCGACCTGCTGCATCTACTTTTATAAAGCTATTAGCATTAAATAGCGAAACGTCAGTAAAAGCAACAATATCGTTTTGTTTTTCATTCATTCCCTGGGAAATACAAGTAAACCTTTGTTAAATGAATATTGTATACCCAATGCCCAAATTCTCTCAAACTATTAAAAGTGAACTTAGTTTGGACATATATAAATTATCAATTTTTATTAATTTTATTTTATCTCACTCAGGTTCTCAACCGCTTATTCGACGTAATTCTGAACCACGTCTTTTTTTCAACACAAATATGAGTAGATCAACCGTCCAATCGGCCTTATTTACACCTCAATTACAAAATAATCTCACTGACTCCACCTATACACCGAAATCTCTATTTCGTCCACAGACTTCACGCCTCGGTATTGAACATGAATACCAAAGTCTAGCACCAGTGATTGACAATCGAACCGCTGTAATGATGAGAACCGCTACGACAGCCAATGCTCATTCTTCACGATGTTTAACTCCTTTCTTTGACTATCGATCGCATCATACCCCACAACATATGATTGAACAGGTTGGAGGAATGAGAAATGGTTATCGAAATTGGATACCAATTCATCTTCAACAATCCAGTACACCAATGGATATTAGCCATCAATCTCTTGTCCATTTAGAGACCACACTTAATAACAATAATAATAATGATAATAGTAACAATCGTGAAGCAGTACAACTGCCTAAATCGCCGACAATAATCTATGCCGCATCACCAGACCCTCAAAAGCATCCAATTCACTTTCGTGGGGACTCACTACCCGTATATCCAATGAATCAGTTACAAAATACACCGAATTTAAAATCATTTCATCAAGTACCAGTTGAAGCAATTCCAGGAAAACATTTGCCACTGCCGCATCATTCCCACCATCATCATCCCCTTTCTACGTATCAGGATATCTCCCTGTTACAGGCTACTCTAAGACGACATAATCGTCGATCGATAATTATGACAACACATTCAAATCCAATGATGACTTACAATCATCACCATCACCACCACCACCAACAACAACAACAGCAACACCAACCGCATCATTCGAATCGATTAGCGGCATCAACAGCCAATCATCGGAATCAATTCAAAACATTGCATACACCAAAACATCATACTGGTATTGGTACATTCACACCAACACCGTCAACTGCTGCAACAATGACACCCAGACTAATGTATTCTAATAATTTAAAGCCTTATAACTCCAATAAAACAAGATATCATATATCTACGCCATTGAAAGATGAATTAGAATGTGAGCAGTTACTGTTGCTAAAAAGCAGGAATAATGAAAATAACGAAAATCAGAAGTTATTACACCAACCAGATGATGTAATCAATTCAAATTATGTTGACAGTAATGATGGTAACAATAATAACAATGATAGGGATGATGTTGATAATGATATTAAACATTTAACTGAAATACCGAATAATTTAAATTTTGCAAAATGTCACATGATCAACAATCGACCAATCAACAAACTGAAGCGAATCAATTGAATTATCATGAGGATCAGGACGGTGATGAGAACGCTGATGGAGATGACGGTGACGATGGTGATGATAATGATAATGAAGAGTGTGACCATCACCAGGGTGTTTCCGGTCTTCTTAAATCAGTATCATCAACAAATTCCCTTCCAATGCTTATTGATATGAACAATTCATCCGGCGAGGATTCAAATAATCTCAATAAATTTACACAACCACCACAAAAATGGTATCCTACATCACCGACATCAACAATGCATCTATTGTCTAATCAATCAAATCCATGCAAATATACATATAAAACATTTAGAGAGGCTAGTTTTGTTTAAACCGATCAAATATATATGTATTCAATGTGTACAATATAAATCACATTTAAAAGCCCGCGTGCGCTACTTTCGATTTAAACAAAATATACGTAACTATATACGAATACATACACACAAAATAAGCGCCAATTGTTTAAATTTTCAGGAAAATAAATCAATGAACAAGTAACGGACTCACTAGTGAACTGAGGTTTTTTCGAGTATATATCATCTCATTGTGTTATAATGTTAATGAACCCTCTTTTTTAAGATTTTTTGCTGTTTTTAAAATACACCCAACGAAACACTCGTGTATGTGATTCACATGAATATAGATACTCATTTATTTATTGTAATAATAATAATAATAATAACAGTTATGATGATGGTGACATTATGATAATCTTGCTCTCTTTCTTTAACTAAAGTATTGATAAGGTGTATTATTGTATTGATTTATTGATTAATTTTCACATAGAAGAATCTACGATTTATCTTTTCATCTACATTGAGTGAGGGAGGATACACGTAATGTCGTAAGGTGTTTTCGAGTATAGGATTAGTAGTAGTAGTAGTACAGTGAACATCACAAAAGATATTTCAGCTGTGTGAAAACAGACTGGATGGAACATCTTTAAAACAGTCAGCTGTAACGTCTGGTAGGATTACAGCACTCCACTAAGCATATAAAGTCACTAACTATCTGAGGGAATCAAAAACTCTAATTTACCGCTTCCGTCCTATTCATTTATATAGGCGGATGACTATTATTATTATTTCCTTTAATTCCTAGAGGAACATAGGGATTCAGCTGCACATCTCCATTACGTTCAGTTCTCTGCTAGAGTTTTCACCTGGCTCCGATTCTGCCCACATGCTTCTGTCTCCTCTTCAAATGACCTCCTCGAAGTCCCCTTGCACTGACGACCAACACGCCACATCCCTTTCGGGTTCCACTCAAGCGATGGCTTGTCTAGTGATGTCACTTGATGGTTTCCTCAGAGTATGGCTAGCCAATCCACCTCCATTTCTTCCTGCTTATATGTGTTTCACAATCGGTTCCTGGTTGTTTCACTCATTGCCAGAGATCCCTGTTGCTAATCTTTTCTGGCCAGCCATCTAATCTTGAGTATTGAGTGAAGACAACTGTTAATGAAGGTCTGTAGTTTGTTTGAGGTGCTCTTTATGACGCGCCAAGTCTCTGATCCGTATAGTGAGTAGCACTGACTGACTTCACATTGGAGTTGAAAACCCGGATATTATTTTCATTTTCTTACTGAGCGCTGAGTGTTGACCTCCACACAGACTTGAGAGTAATGAAAGCTTGTCTTGCTTTCCGATCCTTACTTTGATGATATCCTCGTCAGTTCCGCCTGTAGTTAAAACGATGCTTCCTTGGTAGGTAGGTAAAGGAGTTTGTTTCTTTCAGGTTCCCCCCTGATTGTTGTCTGTCGTTGTCATTGTTGTTGGCCAGGAATCCCATCACCTATGTCTCCATCTTGTCTATGTTCACCTGAATAAAGTCCTATCTTCTCTGGATGCTTTTTCTGCCAACTTGTTGCTTTTCATCACTTGTATATCTTCCAGTTTATGGGAAATCAGACATATATCATCGGTGAAGTCCAGATCCTCCAGGAGTTTTGTGTGGGTCCATTTTATGCCTGTTTCCTCATAGCCTGCCGCTGTCTGTCTGCCGCATTATCCAATCTACTGCAATCAGAAAAATAATTGGCGATAGTAGACAGCCACTTGCCTCACTCCGTCCTCACTTCGAAAGCTTCCGTAAGTTTCCCGTTGTGGATTACTTGGCATGCAGCATTGTCGTACAACTGTTGGATGAGATGTATAATTGTCGATGGGACCCCGTAGTAGCGAAGTAGTTGCCAAATCACTTCTCAACTGACGCCGTCGAAGGCGGATCCACAGAGAAGTTAAATTTAACTTAGTGACAACTTACACACCTATTGTAAGTATTATCAGATTCTACTTGAATAGGTCATTCACATTAGTAAAATGGGTACATGATAGGCTAGACAAGTTAGGATGTTGAGATTGTATCTGTTTTATTGATGAGAGTGAATTTCACACTTGGAATCTTTTGGGGAGTTTGACTGTACATTGATCGATTGCAATGAAGTAGTCAGTTACATGCGTCGAATCCTCGGTGTTGGGGTTGGCTGAACTCTATGAGTTAGGTTTCCAATGTGTTCACTTAACTACCTAGCTCACCATCACGACACACTCTGAATGGATATTAGATTATTGAAGGCGGTTGGCATTAAAGCCTGGGGCCTAGGTTTCATGCTTGTTGTCACTTATCGGTAGGGTGTATCTGCAAAGTTGAAGGAACTTATTTCCCCACTGGGATTAGAATGCATACCACCTATTGTTGCAGTCAGAAACGATCATTACTGCTCTTATCCCCTTGGGTTCCGAGTAGAAAATTGGGTTTCAACAACACATCTCCTCTTCAGATGGGTTCACGTTCGTCCATAATCTCTTATCTCTTCTCCCCAACACACGATCTCCTCCATATCAACCTCGCACCCACGACCCACTCGTCACCGCTTCCCATCGGGATTCCACTCTAGTGATGGTCTGCATTGCAAGTGATATCTTTCGACAGCCTCCTCAATGTATGCCCGATCAATTCCTCGCCATTTTCTTCTACATAATTGGCGATTGATTGGCTCTTGGTTGTTTTTTCTCAGAGTTTCTTGTTGTTTATTCTTTCTGGCTGGTCATTTAATCTTCAGTATGCAAACGGTGAGGTGGACAGCTGTTGATAAAAGTCTGCAACCAGCTGTTGGAAATCCTTTCCGTGCCGTGCGCGCCGTGCAAGTTTCTGACCCGTATAGAAAGACCGACTTCACATTAGTATTGAAAATCCCAACCAATCGTGTTCCTTATACTGAGTGCAAATGATTTCCAAACTGATTTCAGGTTGGTTGATGAAGGCATATCCTCCCTATCCAATTCTGCTTGGTCGGTTGGCTTTTACACTTCATCCGTGCCACTCGTCTGTAGTTGAAACGATGCTTCTTAGATAGGTGAAGAAAGGAGGCAACCTCAGTTAAATCTCTCCCCCTGATGGTGACTGGTGCTGGTTGTTCCTGCTGTTGTTGACTGATTGGTTGTCTTTACCACCTCCATCTTCTCTGTGTTTACCTGCAGTCCTACCTCTGCTGCCACCTTATTCAGCCAGTTTGTTGGTTATCGCCTGCAGTCGTCGAGTTTGTGTGACATTAGAAATATGTCATCCACACGCGAAATCCAGATCTTCTAGAGTCTTATTATCGGTGGTCCAGCGTACTCCTCTGTCTCCTCGCTCCCCATGCACAGTCTGATGCATTATCCAGTCCAACACAATTAAAAATATCATCGGTGATAATAGAAAGCCAGCTTGTTGTACTCCTGTATACAATTCAAGCGCCTCACTGAGTTTCCAGTTGTAGATCACCTGATATTTGACATCGTCATATAGCTAACTGTTGAATGAGGTCAATAAAGACTTGGGCACTGCACGCCGTAGTGTTAAAGTCATTTCCAAATTACTCTGTCTATCGAAGTCGATGAATTTGAGGTAGAGGTTTGACTGTCATTCTATGCTTTTTTCTCTAATGACGATGCGTAGAGTTACAATTCAATTAGCAAATAATTTGCCTTTCTTGAATGCAGCTTGTTCCGTTGCATGGTGGAGTTCTGTATCCAGTGCATCTTTCATTCTCTTCGAGATGATGCGACTAAGTATTTTATTGGTGTTTGTGGACAAGAGCGCTATTCAACGCCAGTTCTTGCCCAGACAGGCTTGAGTTGCCCTTCTTTAACAGCTTGATGAGGTAGAACTTCTTTCAATCAGTACGCACTTTTCCTTCTTTCCAAACTTTATGCAGTAATGGAGAGAGAGAACATCTGCCGTAATCTCTAGAGCCGTCTTCAGTGCTTCGGAGAGGATGAATGCCATCTGGTTCTCCTGTCAGAAATGATAGCATTCAGCTATTTGAACCCACGATTGACCTCATATTGAAGTGTGTTGGATACTTTGATTGATCACTAGACAGTAAAAATGTTTCATGTGCCTAATCTCTGTCTACCAGTTAGGTTTCCAATGTGGTCACCTAAGCTAAGTGGTTCACCATCACAGATTCATATCCCTGAGGGCGAATGAGTTTCTACAAAGTTACGGAAACGTCTTGCTGAAAAGTGCCGATAAGCACGAAACTCAGGTCAGGTAAGGTTTCCTGTCGATTCCCTCCAACTACCTAACACCAGTTTTGATTGTACGCCTCACGCCGATTCAGTAGTAAAATACTCGCCATGTACTGACAGAGTCGGAATTCGATTCCCGATCGACGCACTCCTAAATCTTGCCTAACCCAAAAGCACAACCCCTTGTATATATATATATATATATATATATGACTACCACTCCTGTAATCTAAAAGCTTAGAGCCCTACGTTCCACGCGAAACACAGGGAACAAAAATTGCCCTAATCACTTTGCATCTTTGTTCTTCTGTTTTGACTGCTAGTGTAGGTTTTATATAGTCTTATGTTTAACCAGTAGTAATGCGGCATTTGATCTGAGTGCAGACTCTGATGACAAGAACCTCTTCTTCAGACATTTCATACACATACTTAGTCAAAAGGCCGATGATGTAACGCTACTTTTTTGAGACATTATTACTGAATGTTTCTAAGTCTGGATCTCATCCACTCGGCTAAAATGAATAACCGTACTGTCCAACTGTGGAACTTATCTTAACTAGAAAGTGACACTAGCTACATTGGGAGTACAGTTAGGCACGTTTATTGTAAAGTTTTCGAACACCATCGTGCATAGTGAAGCGAAGGACACATAAGGTTCACTGGTAGCTTTATTCCACTTCATCTAGTTTGTCTGCTGCGTATTACTGAAGCTATCGAAATCCACCTTAGGACACCAACAATAAGGAATCTAAATCATCAGTAGTAATTCCATACAAGGAAGGAACCTTGCAAACAACATTACGTAGAATTTTTAACAAGGCACGCAAGAGTAAAAGTGTCTGGCATTCAAATCACCCACAAACTCAATTAGAAACAAGCTTTGTCGGTTGAAAATCCTAAGGAGCCATACAATACCATACAATAGGATAGGAGAGAATGACAGTTTTAAAATCTAATGTCACAGGGTATAGGGAGAGATGGTTAACAGAAGCTTTGTTTATCAAATCAACTGCAAATACATGTAATAGGAATGATTTAACACCTGTCTAATAGGATATCTGGAAAATTCTACTACCTCAACGACGACAAATAGGAGACGACAAAGAAAACTATAAAACTCAAGTTTCAAAATCGTGTGATTACAATTGATATGATTATGAACGGCAATAAATTTTGTTCGAAACATTGTCATCCAGTAAATAATACTGTTTCACTCACTGCGTGATACATTCAATAAACAAACTAATGTGGAATCACCTTAGGAACCTTAACTTTTGTGTTCCAAAGACGTTCTTTCAGGCACTTTCTCTACTCTGACCATCAAAATTTTAACCATCTTTAAGTGTTGTATAAATTCTGTTCTTAATTTCACGTAATTCTTCAAGCCACCAGCCAAATCTTATAAAACTCAAAATCTCAGTGCCAATTTACAGTTCATCAGAGGTTATAGGATAGATGTCCTAGAGTTCCAATAAGACGAAGTGGCTACTGAGTTCCACTATGACAGGGTGAAACAGATACTAATTGATAACACCTCTTAGCGACAGCTGATGTCGAGTATCGAAGTGAGTTCGAATCCTAGAGGGAACCTGAATTCACTCGAGGTTGCAGATACACCCTACTGACTGGTAAGTGCTGACTAGCAAGAAACCTAGGTTAGGCAAGGCTTCCTGCGGCCGATTGCCTAGAATCATCTAATATTAAAAATTCACATTGCACTCTGATGGCGAGCCACCTAGAGGCATGGTGACCACATTGCAAGCTTGACTGATAGAATTCAATCTGCACCGAAGATAGGACTACACACATCATACTAGTTACTCTGACTAGTGTCTACTTAAAAAATATCCAGTACACTCCTACAAGAGGTGAATCGCGAGCCCGAATAGCTCAGTAGTAACGTTACTGACTGCAGCACTGAGTGACGAGGGTTCAAATCTCACAAGAGACATGAGTTCCTTCAGGGTTGCAGATACGCCCTGCTGACTGACTGGTGATTGTCAACTAGAACGAAACCTAGGTTCAAGGCCTCCTGTGGCCGATTGCCTCCAATCATCTAATATTGAGACATATTCAAATTCATGAATAAGTGAATTTCAAACCAGTGGTTAATTCGTCAAAATGCTGACATCTTAACATAAAGGTTGTAGATTTCATGTGTGGTGAGGTTGCAGGTGCGCACTACTGAAGAGTTCGATACCAAAAATCGGATTTCACTTCAGTTTTTTTAGAAACACCGAACAGCCGTTTGGTTCCTTTCGCGTCGAGCTCATCAGCTGTATAGCCGACAGAACTCAGATAAACACGTCGAAATAGAGAGTTAATTGTCTTAAAAAATTCTAATGATGACTTTTCTACTTTTGGTCAGAGGATTTCATCATGAGCTGACATTGGTTAGAGAACCACTGGATAACCTGGGAGTACTGGACAGCTGTTTCACTAGTCCTATTTTGGGACTCTTCAGTAGTACACACGCCCCGCGAAATTTCGAACCCAGGACCTTTTGGTTATAAGGCGAGTGAGCTTGTAGACCATTAAGCCACTGGGACCCGATCCAATAACCAGGCCATGGATTATAACTTCTGCCTATTCACGACATAGCGCGACCGCTAGTCAATGTCTTCGACGAGTACTTCTGCTCATACCCGACGTGCTGCATCCTACTGATCAAGACTTCCCACTGGAACCTGAATAGGGCTAGTCGCCAGTAAGCATCTCATTGATATTCAAGTATTGGTAATCAAACCAAATCCCTACAAACCAATACTTGAATTTCTTGCTTTTGCTGACAAACTTTAATTACCCATAGGATAATTTACAGCTTGTATTCACTTGTTCAGGATCAGTTCAAATGCTCTAAAGGCTCACTTTCAACATGTACTTCCTTTCTGATTTCGAAGTTACAACACTTATCCTATCCTATATTGAGCAAACATTTACACTGATGTTATAAGGGATGACATTCGAACGTCACTGAATCACAAAACTAAATGAAGATCTTTAAATATTCTCATAATTATTATTATTATTACTATTAGAACAAGACAATATAAGCGAACAATATTGTTGTTTTCAATTAGATTCTCTTCTTCAGGCTTTACTCTAATTTACATGGATTTATATATAAATATTTTAACCAATGACCGTGATTTTGTGGATCAAATATTAGGAAATTTAAGCAGTCCGGCATAAAGCAATCTTTACTTTCTCAGTTTGTAAATTCTTGTATTCTACCCATCCTCCTTTACTGCTCCCCATTAGTCTTTCCTGGACTACTTAAGAAAGACTTTACTTTGCTGAGAAGGGCAGGCAATAAAAGTCGTTAGTAGGGCAAGTGGGATATCGTTAAACCAACTGGTGAACACTATTGTAGATAGACATATTATGTCACGTAAGAAACTAGCGAATACAATATTGTCAGATCCCGAGAATCCTCTCTATACTCAGCTCTCTCCTTGCATTTCATCTGGTAGAACCAGAAGCAGCTATAGGAGGCTGGCTATATGCTAGGACTACTAAGTACCAAGTACTCCACAATACCTACCATATCTGGCACAGCTGTTATGTGATGAGAAATCCGTTAGGTATGACACGATCAACTTACTGCGCCACTCTAACAAATAGTTCCAATTAGTTTTTGTTTTCCTTTCCTCGTTACTATTTCACTGTTTGTTCTCATCTTCTATCACACATCAACTTTATATTTCAAATCCTGTGGTGCATTGTTTGAAATGTAATACTCTACGCTGTTTTTTTTATTTTTATTTATTTATCTTTGATTTTAAAAATCTTATATAATTTATGAGGTAATTAGATGCAATATGCTGTAATGCACGCTGAAAATTCCATACCTGTACCACAAATACCATTTGGAATAAAGCTGTTATTATTCTATTCTATTCTATTCCATTCTAAATTAATAATAATAATGTGGTAAATGTTTTGAACGTCAGTAATAACGATGATAATAATGATAGGAAAAGTAATGATAACAAGGCTTATGCAGGTGGCGATAAGAATAACGAAGGTAATAATACGCGTGTATATGTAGACAATTCAATAAATAAATATATTAGGTCAAATCTTGAAAGGTAATGTGGACAGATAATCAGAGTTTAAATAAATATCATTAGAACACGAAGAAAATGGAAAATAGGAAAGGGTGAGGAGGGTTTTCTGATTAGAATTTACCCTGACCAAGGGAGAGACAAAGGTAGAACAAAACTTCTTTTGTTGTATGCAAAGCCTAGGATTATTCTCTCAAATTAATTCCCATAATTTCGGCTATGTGTTCAGCAGGCGGATTCGAATTCTGTTCGGAAGGTTCAACGGAGTGCAAAAGATAACTTTGAAGGCATTTCTGTAGGGTACTTTCTGGAGAGACCAGTAACAGAACAAGTATTTGAGTAAAAAGTCAAGTTCATGAGATGATAGTGTAACAGTCTATTATTAGAAAAATACAGGTAATGAGTTACATAAATTAATGGTTACTTGGTTATACAGTTGAATTCCACGGCTACAAATTTATTAATATAATCCACAGAAGCATTCACTGCTGAAGTCGTGTCTACTGGTAGAAGCTGTCCACCGGTTGTAAAATAGTCTTCGGATGAGAGGTTCCTGTGAAATCCAAAGTATACAACACGGTTAGTAGTGAAACCAGTAGACAGTGTAGACTAGTGAGAAGACGAAGCGACCAGTGGCACATTGTATTTCAAATAGTACTCGGAACTTATCTATATTCCAACATAAATCGTTTTAAATAAAAGTCGTGTACAATGTTTCTAATTTCAACATCTAAAAAAGGGATGTACAACCGTATTATTGCAGACTCCACACTTTTTCTGTTCACTCGGTGACTGCTGTCATCAACTAAATAAGACAAAAGAGAACATCTTATGGGTTCATTTTGACCTTTTGCGAACCATCATGGAGGATGCTCATTAATGCGTTTGTTAAGCTGTCTAGATGTTCGCCCTATATAGCCAGCTTTCTCCACAGGAGCAGGTAAATTTGTAGATACACATAGAAGTGACACAGCTAGGTAGGCAGCTTGTCTTTTGCTTGAACAATCATAATTGGTCTGCAGCTGGAAAACGATTAACAAAGGGTGGTGGTGGTGGCAGTATAAGTCCGTTTTATCGCCCTCGATAATCTTAGATGTAAGACTTCACTAGCAGCCACATCCCCATTAAATTGAAATTTTAGGAACAGTTGTTTTATTCTAACTGTTTTCAATTCCTCTTTATTATACTTGGTGTTCATGTGTCTCTATGCAAATCTACCAAGATAACCACCTTTATACATTAAAGAAGGATATTGGATACCAAATTCATTTAAAACAATTTGTACACCTGAAGCTGAACATAAAAGTTTTACTGATATGGTATACGAATTTACACAGGAAGATTATGAAAAACGATATACCACATCGTTAAGAAATCTGTTTACGCGGACAGCAAAACATTATGATGGTGGTTATCTGAATATCCTATCATTCTTTGTAAATATTTGCCAGTGTTTACGTAAAAATGATACCCATTTATATTGCCCAAATCCATGCCGTAAACCAGATGTCTGTGATGTCAGTATTAATAGTAATGGTTTATGTCTTATCCTACCGAGTACTGAACCACTGAAGGTAATTCCATCAAATATACGTTCTACTTATGCCTGTGATTATGAATGTGTATGTATCGACGGGTATGTGTTTAACAACACACTGAAAAAGTGTATTCCCATAGAAAAACAATGTGATTCTTCTTTTTGTTTTAATGATGGAATATGTGAATATATACCTGAAGACCAACGGATTATTCAAGAAATTCAATTCAGTTGTAAATGTCCACCAACCTGGAAGGGACTGTCTTGTAGCGAACCAAGGAACCCATGTTTAGAAACGCAAGGATTATGCGGTCAACATTATTGTTATCGTGATCCAAGTAATGTTAAAGTTGGTTATCGTTGTGCATGTCCACCTGGTTTTAAACCGCTCAGTTCAACACAGCCCCAATGTGTTAATATGAATGAATGTGTTGAGTATCCGGATGAGGCATGTTTAAACGTTGGTCGGTGTATTGATAAAGATCCTTCATTGTCAGCTATTGGTATTGATATGACTGAAGAGAATTTAGGATATACATGTCAATGTCGACATGGTTATTCTGGTTCACGATGTGAGCGTAGAGCTCCCCCGTTAGAATGGACAACATGGTCTGCATGGACAACATGTTCAGTAAAATGTGGTCTTGGTATACATAAACGTTTCTGTACATGTCCATTACCAAATCGCTGTATTGGATCGTATATACAAACTAGTCGATGTCAAGGTCCAATCGCTTATTGTCAAGATGAATACGATGAAGAAATGCCGGAGCCAACACAATCTGGATCAAAGATACTGAAAAGTTGGGGGTATTGGCTGACATCTTGGCGATGATCACACGCTGAATGACGCCTTCTATTGGAATAAAGCTGAAGAAGGTTGGGATAGTTTACACTACAGATTTCTTGGTGTATTTATCCTCGGCGATATACTCGAATGGACATATTCTCTACAATTAAGTCATAAATGGGCTATCAAAGAATTACTCGTATTTCATTCAATTCTGTTAGCTTTATTATTTGTACCATTATGTTTAATTATATTTGGTTTGGCTAAAATGATTCAGCGAATTCTTTATGAATATAAGACAAAACGTTCACTGGAATGATTGAGTGTCTATCATTAGTGCGTATAGTATAGTATTGTTATCGTTATTAGTAGTAATAATAAGTAGTACTGATTGTGACTGCATAACCCATTTAAACCAGAGTATTCTGAATGTATCCTAACTCATTTTCTAGGAAGTCAGTCATCTGTACAGATCCGTCTTGCTCTATTCGTGAGGCATCTGGGCAAACTGATTGGTAAAAAAACTGAGGAAATGTGTATATTGTCCTGCAGATGTAGGTTTCCTATAGACATTTATCTTGAGTGAACCATCCTGTCTTCTGCTCAACTGAACATCAAGCAAGTGTACTATCATGTTCTTCTTCACAAGCCATAGATGTGCATCATTAAATTTTATTAACATTTCATTCTTGTCAATTGTCTCATCAAGAATATAATAGACGTATCATCAACATAACGAATATAAGAATCAGTTTTATCGATTATTTGTTTGAATGAACCATTTTCAAGCTTAGCAACAAAAGAAATCTGTCAAAAATGAACCCAATGAAGATACTGAAAATGAATAAATAAATAACAGAAAATAAAATTCCTTCTGAAAGTGATTTCATATATTCAATCAAATCTGGTCTTAATCCTTCAAAATCTTCGTTTCGCGACGACAGTCAAGAAACCTTCGAAAAGTTATTGATTCTGTGAAGGGTTATATAACAGTCATATATGCTCATACAAGAAATAGTAATGCAGCAAGCGTCAAAAAGATGGACATGAAAAAAGATTTCATGGAAGCCTAACCTGGATAGTACTCATTTTTAAATCTGTTCAGTTATAGACCGATGACCCCATTTTTAGGAATAAAGACTCCAATACAGTTTTCAATGTATTTTAACGTTCAATTCTTTAATTAACAAAAATATATTGTGGTATCTTTAATTGATGTGCCGTTCAAATTGCAACTCTACGTATCGTCATTACAGAACAAAGCATAGAATGGCAGTCAAACTTCTACCTCAGTTTCATCGACTTCGGGAAGGCCTTTGACAGCGGTGATCGAGAAGTAATCTAGAAACTATTGAATTGAATTTTTGATTTTCCCGTCGATTGATTGGACCGAAGTGTTCGGTCTCAGGTTGACATGTCGGCTTCTTGTGCAGATGCTTTGACGATGTCTGGGGATTTGATTTGTATACAATTGGTGGATGGTGGCTAGCAGTGGAATCCAGCCAGGATGCGCATTTCGTCCTAATTGGGACTCGTCAGCTGGATGTACCTGCATTTCTCAGTGAGTGATGATGTTCCCACCGAGGCTCGAACCCAGTGCCCATAGTTTCAAACGCCAAAGCGTTATCCACTAGACCACTTGGGCCACGATAATTAATATATGACCCGTTGCACAAGAGGTGGCTCTCGTGGCCCATGTGGTCTAGTGGATAACGCTTTGGCGTTTGAAACTATGGGTACTGGGTTCGAGCCTCGGTGGGAACATCATCACCACTCACTGAGAAATGCAGGTACATCCGATGACGAGTCCCAATTAGGACGAAATGCGCATCCTGGCTGGATTCCACTGCTAGCCACCATCCACCAATTGTATACAAATCTAGAAACTACTTCAACACCTTGGCATACCTCAAGTTTTTGTCAGCCTCACTCAACAACTGGCTATATGACTATGTCATGTGTCAAGTGGTGGTCCACAAGGGAAAACTCAATGAGATATTCAACGTGCATACAGGAGTAAGACGAAGGCCACCTGCCTACTATCACGGTGGATGATATTCTTAATTGTGATGGACTGGATTATGTGTCAGATTGCATATGAGTAGTGAGAAGACGGCAGTACACTGGACCGATAAGAAGACTGTGGAAGACTTGGATTTCGCAGACGAAAATCAGCAAAGTGACAGAAGAGGGAGCGAAGATAGGACTCCAAGAGAACATAGAGAATACCGAGGTGATGAAGATAACCAACGGACAGCAACAACAACAACAACAACAACAATAACCAGCACCAATCACCATCAACTTGACAGATTCAACAGAGGTTACCACCTTCACTTATCTCGGAAGCATCGTTTCAACTACAGGCGGAACAGATGAATAATATCAAAGCAAGCCAGTCAGAATCGGAAAGTCAAGCAGGATACGCCTTCACCAACCTGAATCCAGTTTGAAAAAATATTCTGCACCCGGGCAGTAAAAAAAAAAAGAAGATTCGGATTTTCAACACAAATGTAAAGTCGATCCTTCCTTCTATCAGAGTGGGAAACTTTGCACCACGTGTCATGAAAAGGATTTCTAACAGGTCACAGCAGACTTTTATCAACAGTTGCCGCCTTTTGCTGGCTGACTCCATACTGAAGATCAAATGGCCAGAAAATTACAAGTAACAAGAAACTCTGCAGTGGAATAAACCAACAAGCAAGAGCCGATTGCTCAACAAATATGTAAGAGAAAATGGAGACGGTTTAATCGGGCATATGTTGAGGAGACTGTCGGATGACATCACGTGTGGGGTTATTGCTCGAGTAGAATCCAAACAGGAGGCAATAAGTGGGTTTTTGATGCGAAGGTGACATGGAGGAGATTGTGTGAGTTAAAGGAGGAGATGAGAGTCAACCAGCCGTAGGGGACACAGCAGGAAGTAGAAGAAAGTGAAGATGTCTTGTCGAAGCTCTATGTTCCAATCAGAACTCAAGAGAATAATAATAATAATAATATTTTTAATCGATCATCCAGTTCAACTAGATTGTTTTAGTCATAGGAAGCATGGATGGTGGTTTCGAAGGCGGTAGAATAAGAAAAGTACGACAAACTACCAGTAATCGGAAATCAATGAACTGAAATCTGCTATAATTAGAACTATGAACAACATCTGGATCTTCAACACTAATGTCAGGTTGGTCAATGTGTGGTGAGAGCAGGCCGTGAGAAAATATGTACAAGGCTGATTCAACAACCAATCAAAGCAAAGTTAACGTGGCGAAATATGATTCGCAGATAGAGAACTCTATTTGTCGAGGAATCCCGAAACAACCAATCAGATGACTGCGCTTGTCTACTTGCATAAGCTATAATAATGTATGTGAAATATGTATAAATACGTGTTGATTTTCATAATAAAACGATGGGTTGCCTGGCCCTTGTCTTCTGTTGTTACATTTGGTGTCGCTGCCTACCGACAAATGGAAAGCCTATGCCCTGCTGTTTTTGATGGAGACATATGGATCTTCGGGCAGGACTTCAAGGCTTCTGCGCAGTTGAGTGGCGTTCAAGATCTGTCAGCGATGGAGCTGCTACTTGGGACGCTGCTGGGAGGTCGGGTGAAAGCAGCATATGAAAGTGTGAGACGAAATACTGACGAATGTTCGACAGGGTCAGGCAAACAGTTTCCAAAGTGGGAAGGACCACATATGGTCACTTCGAGATGGGATTACGCGGACACAATCGCAATGACGAACAATGAGAGGCGCGTGAACGTCAGCGAGCTCCAGAAATGGATACAGCGAGACAAGCCAACGATGACGCCTGCACCAAGTAGATCAAGCCGACTTCAGTCGCACGTATTTGACGGGGGGACGAGTGTGGTGAGAGCAGTCCGTGAGAAAATATGAACAAGGCTGATTCAACAACCAATCACAGCAAAGTTAACATGGCAAAATATGATTCGCAGATAGAGAACTCTATTTGTCGAGGAATCCCGAAACAACCAATCAGAAGCCTGCGTTTGTCTACTTGCATAAGGTATAATAATGTATGTGAAATATGTATAAATACGTGTTGATTTTCATAATAAAACGATCTGTTGCCTGGCCCTTGTCTTCTGTTGTTACAAATGCTTCAGTATGTTTTAGAGACTTGATAGGTCGTTAAAAGCACTTGCAACAGTCAGCTACAGCTACTGAAGATCAGAAGAATGGCCAGAAATAATTAACAACAAAGAACTCTGTTAATGGACTAACAAAGAACCTATCACACAAACTAATATACAAGAGGTAATGGAGATAGATTGAATATACCCTGAGGATACTGACATCACGTACTAGGTCCTAGGGTGGGATCAAAATGGGAAGCGGGATATGAGTTGAATTTAGGTGGAAAGGTGACATGAAGGACATCGTGTCAGGAAGGAATGAAAGTTTGCAGATAATCATGGAGCTAGTATAAAAGACTAAAAATCAACAGGTTGAAATGAAGGTGTACTGTTGAAACACCATGTGGAGTTGTGGATGCGCACTAATGAATAAACCTAAGGCAGGATGAAACGGCGGTCCAGTAAGTACTTCCTTTCAATGGTTCTCTAACTAACATCAATCCATGATCAAAACTTGAAACAAATCAATACTATAAACAGATTGTTCATAGAGGGGTTTTCAAATCAATGGTTCTCCTACAAGTACTTTGAAGAGGTGATGGTGTCCAAATCAAACTTTAATGATATCTAATCATGTTGAACAGTGTAATGAATTCTATTTGTTGATGGTGACTAGCAGTGGATTCCAGGACAACACGCATTTCGTCCTATTCAGGACTCGTCAATTGGATGTACATGCATTCCCCAGTCAGTGAGTGACTGTGTTCCCACCGGAACTCGAGCTCAGTGCCCATAGTTTCAAACGCCAAACCATTGTCCACTAGACCACTTGAGCTTCAAGACCCGGGGAAAGTCTAAATTGAATTATTTTTCAAGTAGTGATTTTTTGTAGGGATTTTGTTTGATTCGATGGAGGATTTCATAATGAGCTAACATCAGTTAGAGAACCATT